CAAACTGAAACGTTTTGGAATCCATTATACAGTCGTCGATTGGATAAGTAACTTTCTCCATGACAGGAAACAAAGGGTAAGGATTAATGGGGCTCTCTCCTCGTGGGTACCTGTAAAAAGTGGGGTTCCCCAAGGCACAATCCTAGGTCCTCTTTTCTTTTTACTTTATGCAACTGAATTGCCAACTGTAGCAAAATCATCCGTTCTACTCTCCGCTGGTGACATAAAGATTTGGAGGCCCATACATAGTGTGTCGGATAGAATAGTATTACAGGACGATCTTAGCTCATTGGTGGCATGGTTAGACAGGTGGCCACTAGAGGTAAATCCTAATAAAAGTGTAGTGATGCAGTTAAATAACTCTGATGAATCGTATGGCTATACACTACGTGGATTCGTGCTACCCAAAGCAAGAAACTATAAAGATTTAGGAGTCATGTTAAGCAATGATCTCAAAACCACTAGTCACAGTTAGGCTGCTGCTGCAAAAGGCTATAGGGTATTATGGTCAATTCGTAGGTCTTTCCAGTATTTAGATGATAAAATGTTTAGATTACTATACCTGATTTATGTGCGACCACATTTAGAATACGGGATTCAAGCAGCGTGTCCTTGTTTCAAATATGAAGCAGATGTGCTAGAAAGAGTCCATCGACGAGCTATTAAAATGATACAAGGTCTATCTGGCCTATCTTATGAAGACAGACTGAGACACTTTAACTTATTTCCGTTATCTTACCGTGGAATACGGGGTGATCTAATATTGACCTATCGTATACTGAACGATGACCTTGGTATTAATATGTCTTATCTTTTGCTTCCGTCTACAACCGATCATTTGAGAGGACATTCGAAGAAAGTTCAAAAACCGCGGTCAAACCGTTTACATCTGGAGTTCCGTTTATCGCACCGAGTAGTGAATTACTGGAAATCTCTACCGGAACACGTAATATCAGCACCGTCTGTTAATATACTCAAAACGAGATTGGACCTCCACAGTATTACAAACTGCAAGGATTAATATAGGTCGACAGACCTCCTATCCTTATTACTGAAGACTGAAGACTATGGTAGTTGCTGAGCACCAAGAACGCCGGAAAAATGATAATCTAAAAGCAAAGGAAGATAGGAATGTACACAAGTAACAGTAGTCACGAGAGATAGGCAAGTAAAACCCTGAACCCCAGATGCTTTTATGACACTTAAAAAAATGTAGTTGAAAAAAATAGAACTGAACGTGTTGAACGTGTTGACGGGATGTAGACACAACTTCTACTCCTTAAAAGTTACCAAAATCTGGAATTCGCTACCAGCCAAGCTAGTCCAAGCGACTTCTTAGGAGTCCTTCAAGAGGCAACTTGACCTATTCTTAAGGACCAATGACAGCATCACACTATGATTTACCAATTTCTTTTCCTCTTTTATTGTTAACATACATAGGTTCCTGTCTGTAGGATTTGGTGACCCCCTGCTACTAGACATGGAAGCCTGTTAAGCGAAAGCTTCTTCTATTCCGTCCACAACCATTTGAACCATTTGAACTTGGAAACTTAAAAATATCCTTTGTGCTCAAATGGTAACCTTTAAAAAGTGTGAAATTCTCTTCAACACGAATGTAGCAACCACCAGCTAGGTTAGTTACTTACTGGACGTCCAAGTGTTTCATAACTATTATTAATTTGACATTAACATTTCACGGAGATATTGAAATTAGGACAACGAAAAGTACTTTACAGGGCTATCTGTCTTCAAGGTCAGGAGCGTGATTTGCATTCTCATAAAACTACTTCACGGCAGCGCTCCAGCGGTATCGCGACACTTTTTTGCGCTACTTTTTTATTTCTGCTTTGTGCACAACCAAATTTCGAAATACATTATGAATAAATTTGAAAGTTTATTTTCCGTTTTCATAATTAGGTAAAAAGGGGTTTTTCCATTTTGCGTTACATGGTATCGCGAAGTCCTTGAAAATTCACTATTCAGGTGCTGCTATAATAGTTTTTCGGTGTTTGCATCGCAGATTAGCAATTATTTCTAGTTAAGTATACACTGATAGTAGACAATTATTTTATTTTTATATGAAATAGCAAGATTCAGGCATATATCGTCATAAAAATTGTATTGTCGTCAAGGCTACCAAAACTGCGTTACAACTAACGATACCATGGTAAGATTTATCGTTTTTCCTATCTTTATCACAATTTCTGCTGATTTTCACTGTTTTGTTCGACTTTTATGGCAGAAATAGGTTTATAGTGAAAACATAAGGTGTCCTGAGTGTTGTAAATATTATGTATATGCTATAGATGATAATAACACATATCTTAAGATGTTAATATCACCTCCTACAGTTAAATATATTAGCCACCAGATGATTGTATTGCAGGAAATAAATCATAATCATGCGGTAGAGGTATAATTATGTGGGGATTCTGCCAAAGACCAATCTAAGATAGCATTACTACCTCTTTTGTAGATCTACACAATTATTTGGCTGTACCAAAGCATGTCATTGAGAGATGGTTGTGACTTTTTTCTTTTTTTAAATTCTGAATTCACGGGACGACTACCTCAATTCTCAATAGCCGTGCAATTGTTTTGATGTTCTACCTACATTTCAATAAATATTTTTCAGACAGCTTACTTTTTTACTTACATGGGAAACTGTAGAAGTGTTGAGAATGTGTGTTTGAGTGTCAGTGAACTTTTGAATAAATGCACATTCCTTATAAATAATACATCACGTGTTTCTTCTTTTGCAGATAATTTCAATTAACAATGAATTAGCAATTGCATTGGATATGCAAAACAATCGATGCTTAAGCTTCTGCTCTAGTGTTGTACAATAATACGCTTTACCTTTTAAATAAAATTTTTCAAAAACATGCCGGTTTTACGCTGTATTGCAGATTTATTTTGGTCTGTTGTTGAAAATAAAGGCGAACATAGTAGACCTTTGGGGTTATGTTAATGGATGGAAAATAGGGAGTTCTGTGTGTATTTAGGCGAAAAGCAGACAATTCAGCTGACATTTAGGCAAAAAGTGAGTAATTTATCGACAAAACGGCAAAAACAGTCGACATTCTGATGCGTTTTCCCCTTTCGCTACCAAAGCATTTACCCCTTTATTTCCCCTTTTTGGGTTGTCTGGGGAGCTACAATGTTTTGGCTGCCGGTATTATTGCCAAAATACCTGATAGCAGAAATAAGTACTGCTATAAAGCTGTCACGAGAAAGCATTGAAAAGTACGACTCGATAGTCAAGATATCTTGATCTAAGGTGACCAGATTGTGTGAGATCCTATGTGATGATCTTCGGAAATCAACCAAGGCCTGTCTAGCTTACGTGCTGATGCCGTAAATGACAATTACTCATAACTTACGTGGGACTAGAATAGAATATGCATCAAGAACTGCAGGTTACACAGGACGATTCAAAGTAAATTCACACAGCAGTCTTTATATATGTTCGTCGTCGAAGTTTCCGAAGTGCAATCTGTCCAAAGAATTAAATAATACATTCCGTGTATGTTGTGACCCAGACTTTCCTAAGCAACGCAAGAGATAAAGGAAATAAGCGTGATTGACTATCCAAAGAAAGGGTGTGCTAAATGCACTTTCGATCTGTAATTGAATACTGGTTTCCGTTTTTATATTAGTTTCTGGTAAACATTTATACTGAAATAACTTTCCTGTCTATCTTATTTCCAGCTAGCTTCGCAAGCGTTCACAGACCTAACGGGAACAATTCCTGAGAAATAGAAGTTATTTATTAATGGATCATTTGTGCTAGATTCAAACTTTAATAAACGTTTTCATTTATAACGCACCAGTTTTTTAATTACGGCAATTCGTATCTATCGTGACAGGTCGAAATTCGAACTACTAGTATGGTACACCATGTTCAAGGTTGCAGTATTTGGTAAACGGTATGTATGACTAATCGCGTGTGCGCCAAACTGGTAATTATTACACAAGAACGCGAAACAACACCCCTGTCTCACAGCTACATAAGACTGCACAGTACACTCCCTGCCGTTACGCTATAAGAATAAGTCAATGGCCATATAAATGAATTTATGTAAAACTAAAAACATTACAATATTATAACTTCTTGTTATCAAGAAGCATAGCTATGGTCTGTATTAACAATGGATTCTGACGTTGTAGCTTCGTCATTAGCACCGATTGAACTCATCAATTGTGCACATATGTCTTCCGATGCTTCGAGGCACGAACGGATGAGTTTACTTGCCAAAGGTTCACTAAGAGCATGGATTGAGTGGTAGTCGCTAGCGAACTTCTCTAGCAGATCATCACTCCCTGTAGAGATTGAGATGTTGTCCAGCGCACGAAGAACCAGGTCCATTATGTATTTTCTTGTCCACTTGTTGCTATGTCGAAATAAGTCTACAAAACATGTAGAGATAAAGGATTACACATACCTCCACGAATCAGATCTTTAGAATGTGCATACAAAATATGACCACAGGGCAGCATGTAGTCATTGAAGCGCAATATTTCGACCTGAAGGATAAATTCATTTGAAGTAAGGCATACGTAGATGACCGACGTCGTCTCCTTTGCCTAGGTTGTGTTGGCGAGTTAGAAGTTGTATGCTCTTCAGAAGAATGATTATTAATATCATCATCTACATCCTGAACGCAAGCATCTGACTCTAACGAACTGCGTTTACGTCCATATGTACAGACATAACTCACGAAAAAGTACTTTTGAGTTGGATCATCACTGTTCTCTTTGCATACTGACATAACGTACTTAGTACGCGTATACTAAAAAATATATTATTAACCACAGAAGTCATATTACCTATATTATGCATCATCACGATGGCATCGTCTTCGTTACTTGAAGAATGAACGTTACTAGACATGATGTGGCTGAACTCAATTCAAATCTAAAAATGTCTTGATTTGACCGCTTCTGAAAATTTTCACGAATTGTCGATGTGACGCACCAATCAGTTTGCTACAGTTTGACCTTCAAGTGCTCGCAACTCCCATCAGTGGACGATACCCTAGGAGCGTTGCCCTACTTCACGGATGAGCCAGTCAAAATCGCGAATGTGAAATTCAAGTATCATGTGTAACAAGCAGCAAAAGCTCTTTTGTATGCTGCTAGAAATCCTTAGAAAATATCGTAAACTCACTTTTATCTATCATTGATTAACGTTAATCTATCAATTGATACTGTTAAATCATCACATGCCTTTTTTGTCTCTTTAAATTGAGTATATGTACCCCTGAATGGAAAACCCTACTTTCTAATCCTAAAGTAAACCTCAAGTCGATCGCCCCAAGCTCCTGACTTTAGGGAAATCCTCAAAGTTTGGGGAAATTTAGGGGAGTTATGGGGAAATTTTAGGGTTTTTGTGTCATTTCCCCAAAACTTACAATAGTGGCTTCCCCAAAATGTGCTTAATTTTCTCCAAAATTGGCAGCTAGGGACGTTACATATATTTATCTAAACTAGTCAGACATTGCACTTTTAATAAAATTACTCCATTCATATAGCTACAGAGCAATTTTGAGTAGTAACCGACGTCATTTCGTGTTAAAGCCTTCACCTCTTTCGCAATTTTTTTAGCAGTAACTAGGGCCAATATAAAGAACTTAAGATTCTTTTGCGTCCTTATAAATATTTAAAAAGATAGGCAGTCTATTTCCATGAGGGCAATTTGATGTTTTTCCATAGTTTCAAGTTAAATGACCTGTGGAAAACGTCAGTAGATTCAATGTTTACTTAAGACCGGCTGACGCTAGCAATACTATTGGTTTTTTTCCATGGACTACCCATTAATAAACGTCTTTTACAATTGTCTAGAAACTGTATTTTCAGTTCTAATCTTGTCCATAAAGTGTGCCTTTGCTCTCATGTTGAACTTATTACTTTTCTATTGTTACTGAAATATATTTGAATGTATATTTGAATCATCGAGCAGAAATTAGCAAGATTAGATCAAATATCAGATATCTTCATAATTTAGCACGACCTCCAATAAAATATTGGTGATATAAGAATTTCGGCGATTCACTAACATAGAACAAAATAATGAATAAGGTTGTTTTTAGATAAACATCATCATATATCAAGTGTCTAACCAATCCATCTTAAAATATGATAATCATAATGTATAAAAACTTATTACCCAGTACTCTAATGATTTTGTTTTCTAGAATCAGTTGACTACCCATTTGATAATTTCCTTTCTATCATATATGGTTCATATTTGAATCCTTTTCTGTCATAATCAACTTTTCAAATAAATTTCATCTGTATATTCTTTGTGTTTTTTTCGAGTATTCTCCGCCTTTTTCAATGTCATTCACAGAACTTATTGCCTTTGCAGTTTTAACTGAAAATGACCTCGTTTGATGCCGAAAAATCTGTAACTGATGTAAGTTTTCTTTATTATCCAGTATTTTACATTTAACTTCACCAAGTCTTCCTTTTTTACTCGAAATTGACTGTCTAATTTTCATTATTTAACTAAAACTGTATCTTAAGCAGAACTCTGTTACATTTGCTTTTGTTGTGCACCCAAATGATCCCATTTTCTCTGTTGATATCGGTTATTTTTCGGACGTATTATACAGAAAACCATTAAACACAATACATTGCATGTTAATCCTACCATAGTTATCGGTTTCATCTTTGTCCTTCCTGGGTTCCACACAAAAATATCTATAAAAATGGCCATTTGATAACTTCGTCTTATACTGTTAAGTCGAAAATGTGGCGCATATATATCTGGTGCCCCCTTGTACCAATATTTATATGTTAAGATAAATAAATAGTTAAGTCGAAGGACTTCCCATAAAAGCTCGTTGTGCTCAGCCTTTATAGCAAACATAAAACAGTCACCACCTAAAACCTGGTACATATCTACGTCGGTTCAAGTCACCATATTCCATTAGCACAGAGAAATTTTCAGGTCAAATCCCAGAATATTAGAGGTAATAACAGTATGAATGGTAATGGTAAAGATTAGGCATCGAAGATACGATTCAGGAAAATATGAATTAGTGAAATAAAAGAATAATTGTGAAAAATTTAGAATCTAAGAATCTGGGGGAGGACAAAGGACCTACTTACAATTGATTGATCACTAGTTAGTGACCAATGTCATGTGTGTCGGGTCTTCCTTAGTGGAGATCAAATTCTATCAACCAAGTTGCAATGTGGCCACTAGTCACATGCAAGACAAAGAGGAAATGCACCTGCACCACTGCAAGCGATTTTGAGCCATATCATCCAAAGTCTCTAACCAGCGGTTACGAAAATCATGCGGACCCTAACCAGGTAGTCTACACCTGTTAACATGGTTCAATCCAGTTGTCGATGACTTCATTGATTGGCATCATGTTTTTGTTTGGCCATGCCTACCTTCTTTCTAGCGTACTCCTGCACCAGAAAACACCACTAGACGAGGTATGCGGTGGTCGGCCATACATAACACATCCCAATCATCTCAGTTGACAAAGATTTACAACCTCATTAGTCGATTTCCCATATTCACATAGTATCCTGTTCCAAACCCGGGCATTGCGTACCTCGTGGTCCTAAATTACACGAGCGATACTTCGTGGACTTCTATGATCGAAAACCAGTAGCCTACAAATATCCTCTACTCTTAATGTCCATGTTTCACATCTATGAATTAGAACAGTGAAATGCACAGTAAATTCGTCCTTTGTTCCGTAGACGGATATATCGCCTACATCACAAGTGATGCAAGTCGATCAAAGCAGAAGGAGCCTTCCGAACCCGTGTCGAGACTTCGTCATACACCGAACCATGAAGACTGAAAAGACCTCCAAGATGAGTGATGTGGTCGGTGCGTTCAGTCACTTCACTCTCTATCGTTAATTTGAGCGCTCACGCAACCCAATTCTAAAGCGATATTTTACATTTGGAAAGGAAAAACCCCATCTCATACATGTTTGCATTGTTGCTTACGGTGGTCGGAAGACTGCATTTTGTAAACCAGTCAATCTCCTGGCTGAATATCGGTCCCTGAAAAGTCAGATGATAAAAGCGTTTTCTCTAAAAGCATGTTTATGAAAAGGTTAAATACAAATAGAGAGAGGGGAAAGCTCTGACAAACATCAATCGAAGTAACCAAATTCAATGACAGTTCTCCATAAGCTCTAACGCGACTAGTAGTGTTTGAGTGGCGAGCACTTACAATGTTAATGTACTTCTTGGGTACGCGTTTCAATGGCAGACACTGCCAGAGAACCTCATGATCAACATATTCGAACGCTGCCTTCAGGTCAAGGTATACAACTAAAGTTGGACGTTGGAAAGAATGTCTATGTTCCAAAATCTGCCGAATAGTAAATATTCAGTCTATGAATATACGTCTGTGTCTGAAACCAGCCTGGTTCTCTTGCGTTTGCTGTTCGCGAGATCTAGTTAGACGTCGAAGTATTATTTAGGCAAACATTTCTGATGCTATATTAGTTGAAGTGATTCCTGTGATTGTCATGAGATGAGTTTTGTCCTTTCTTATAAACTGAGATCGAAGCCAGTTAGGTGGGATTACGTTGAGTTCCCAGATTTTGGCTAAGATAGTTAAACTAACTGCTAAGACTTGACCATCATCCTTAAAATTATCAGGGGTTAGTCCATTGGTCCATCAGACTAGTGGTGGGGATGGTTGGAAGTTGGGGGGGAAAACCAAAATGTGATATCAGTCCACAAAGTCACTAACTTCTAGTCTGATCCATGTTGGTAAATGCAGACTACTTGGTTGTGGTCCGCGACTATCGTAACTAGTGGTTGGAGACTGGGTGACATGACTATTAGAAGCGGTATGAGGGGGTTGTCACTTCCTGGTTGCTTACACCGTGGAAGGATAGTTAATCTTGAGGGACATGAAAATACTGAATTAGTGGCGGTTCTGGAGACCGGTATACGTGACCACAGTGCCCAAGGGACGACTGCTTGAAGTTTTTGAATGCATTAGCTCCGCAGTTCGAAAGGCTCTACCACCGGAGACAAAAATCCATGGGGTAAGGTGAAGTGTGCCATTTCTAATCAGTCTTCTTGTGATTATTAGAATGCAACTTATGACAAATTTTTCATCTGAAAATCTGTACTCATGAGCTTCTCATTTTTCTTCTGTAGAATATTCATACTTTTAGTCTCTCCCCGCATGAGCGATTCTTAGAAGCCTTCTGTATTTGTAACTGACTTCAGTTTTAACTTTTTGAGAAATTCATACTATTGCTTTAGGTTGTAGACAGGTGAAAAAAATCCACAAAACAAGTCAATTCCTTATTATTATTCTCCTATCCCTCGTCTTGTTCCATCGAAATTTATGATGAGGGACAGTTTTATGGAAAATTGCCCGTTCACAACAAATAATCCAAGAAAAGAACTTTGAATGATAAAGTCTGTTATATACTCACTAACTTAATTCAGTCGTGTCACTCTGAATGGATCTTTAGTCCAGTTCCATGTAGAATGGGTCAAATATTGAACCTTCTGTCGTCCTATCGAGTTATTGTCATCATTTACTTTGACTAGACATGTAACTCAAAATTTAGTGTTCGAATATAAACCCAACTTCTTAGTTTCATCATTTTATTGTATAACTCATTGTTAGTCTCTTGGTTGACATTACCAAATATTTACAATCACATATACGCTGAAAGCTAAAGGATAGAACTTTCTGTGACAGACAATTTTCAAAAAATAAAGGAAGGGCAACAATCCTAGCACTATAAAGTCAAGCTGATTTGATAATATTAGCAACTAAGCTTATTCGTTCTAGACAAAAATAACAATTTTTTAAAAATAATTTATTAATTAGGAAACATAATCAGTATGGTTAGAGCCATGCTTTTAATAATCTTAATGGAAAGCTTAATTTTGACTGAACATTAGCTACTACACTCACATGTTTATTTAATCTTATACATTACAACAGCACCATTATGTGAATAGTCTCATCAAACATAACTCCCATTATCATTATCGAAATGTATAGTGAATACTTTATCAACTCAAAATATTTCAAACTTTATCCTTTAATTACTGGATATGTTACTTTCATATAATTTAGCCGAATATCGAGATACAGTGGGCTGAACATTGTTTCCGTGATGCAGAAGATTATTTTCGCTTACTTTGTTCAGTCTCTGACCCCTCACAATTAAGACTGACTGCCATAGATGATTTCATATACGACAAATTTATGGGAGAGTTTAGTGATATACAATTAGACGTTATTTCTGAAGATTCTTTGAAATCGGAGCAATCAAAAGCAGTAAGTCCCTTATTACTTTATATCAGTTATCCACAAATGTGATCATTGTCGAAGGAATTTCTAAGTTAACTATGTGTTGAATCCCTATAGTTACGATCACTCTAGAAACAAACAAATATTCGAGTATAACTGAATTCCAAAGTAGTACATGTATATACTTTGTGTAATTGTGGCGCACTATTCAAACTGAAGGATTAATTTTTTATGGTTTATAACACATCTCATCCATTTTCGGTGTCATATAACATTACTGTCTCACCAAGCTCAATATTTTGTGAGTGAATTTTGTTTAGTATACTTCAGTTTTTCTGGATACTTGCCATATTTCAAAAAACTAAGAGATAAGCTGTATATCAGCCTATAGATATATTTAACCTTCGACTTTCATAATCTAACTAAACTTTTTAGTTTCTAAAGAGTATAGTGAGAAAAATTAACTCCATACCAGTGTGTACTCGTATGGTAGATGTATAATTCTTAAAAACTACTATTGTTTTCGATTATTTTGTAGTCTGAAAGGGTTAGGAGTTCCTTTTCTTTTAAGTTCTAACTGAAGAAAGATGTCAATCCATCCTTAGAATTTATCGAAATTGTAATATATATATATATATATATATATATATATATATATATATATATATATATATATATATATATATATATATACTCACTGACTTCCATCAAAAGCTCGACCTTATTTCCCGTTTGATTTGCTCTGACACATATCTGCTGTTGATTTATATATTCTAAACGCTATGTCGAGCAGCAGATACACCGATCATCGTTATTACAGTGATTGCAAGTCTTAGGAATTAACTACGTTTTTGTATCTTTGTTTTCCCTACAATCGCATAATGGAGTTATTCTTGATCCTTTAGAAATGGCGATCATTCTGCAATGAGTTTGAAAGGAAAGTTGAAGATTTCAACTTCGGTACTTTATTGAGACTTGATGCCTCAAAAGGATACTGTCCAGAAAACACCTGCATCGGTAGGATATTTTTCTATTTAAACGTTTTTTGTACAGTTCCTAGAATACAGTTCCTTGCCCTAGAAATCGCACGTAACCGCCTTGGTATCAATAACACTGAGAACCTCAGACAAATACAGGGATAAATTTGTACATATCTTGTATATTTTTTCTATAAAACTTTATAATTGGCCTTGTTTAAAGACTTTATTGGGATTTTAAAGATGATGAATCGAAGCTCACTACATGTATGAATATTTTTTAATAACATCAAAAACAACTACGCTACTGATCACCATACCTTGCTAATCAACCTCATAAATAATTATCCCCACATTACTTTATTCATCGAATAAGCTCTTCTACATTACAACTACTTAATAGTTAAATTATTGATGTAGATAATTTATCACCCCTTTGTTCCAGACTCAATTCTACGTGCCTGATAATGCAATTGTGACAAAAAGCAATTAAAATCGAGAATTTTGGACCAATAGTATTCTGCTTGCTGTTATGTTAAGGATCCCATCTCGCATGAACTCTCGGGTGCATATCGCTAACTAATGCTGAACCGGCACGATAAAGCTGCCTAGTGTTTTATAATATCCTAGGAGATATCAGTCGTCTGTAAATCAACTTTAAAATCTCAGAAGACATCTTGCTAGGTCGTACTTCTCTTCACGGTTTTCTACATATTGTCGCTGATTATTTGATTCTGTCATACCATCGATGATGAAGTGTAGGTTAGTATGTCTTGAGGACGACTTGTTTAAAGTAATCAAATCGGGATGATTTTCTAAGCACTAGCCAGTGACTATAAAGAAATTCTATGTATTTAGTAATTACGAGGTTTTAAAATAACAGGTCTGGTGTTTTCCTCATACTACCTACTTGTAATCCACTAAAGACCAAGTGAAAATGCGAGTGCTACCTTTATTCAAAACAAATGATCATAATCAAAACCATCTCACGGACTACCAACAACCCAGAATAAAAGCTAATAACTTGATTCACTAATGACTGCTCTTGGTTTTTTCTTAACCTTATTCCTATCCTGACGATTTATGGTCATACAAAGCACATATCCCTGTTACTGTAGTCGATGGTAAGTTATAGAGCATTACATATAGTGGTGATTGGAATTATTTGAATTATTACACAAATTAGCAATCCCAGAAATGACGCGTTTTAGACCAAGAAAAACTAGATGAGTACTAATGGACGTATTGTATTCATAATTCAAAATCAGGCGAACATCATTAGTTCATACAAACACCGATCCGCCACAGCTTAAATGTCTGTCCGATTGTGTACTGGACGTAAACTGTATGATCTAGAATATACTCATCAGTATTAGAATTGACAACTGAAATTGGAACAGGTTCATCTAGGTCCTAGAATTGTATACAATCACCATGTCGGTTGTGTACTGAAACCACTGTTATCTAGAATTCGAACCGTATATTTTTCAACACTATCTCCCCACACGAAATAATGTGGGATCCTCATATCCCCAAGTTAAGAGTAATGTGGTTTCCTTTAAAACATATTTCTCACATTGATTAGAGGATTCATTAAAAGTGACTTCATGATAAGTATGAACAACATTCGATATGAAATCACACGAATTGTAATCAAAATCGAGCTCCTTTAGGACTCGTGCTTCGCATTGAACAACTTTTCCACAAGAAACAAATGCATTATGAGGACAAATAATGTTTGATATAACATTAAGATTTGATTCTTCTGAAGTATTTTCTTCAACTCTATTAAGAATATCATTGGAGATTAATGGATCATTAGAAAAATCAGCAACTATCGAAACTGCATCGGATTTTCTATCATGATTTGATCCATTCAACGCAGATTTGTAAGAGACTTCATCAGAACAAACCATATATGGTACAATAACATGAGATTTGATGCACTCGACATATATGTAAATAATTTCATTAGAAATACATGAAGCATGAGAACATCGCATATCTGGTAAAATGATAACATGAATCTGACTATAGTATGATTCATTTGAAACATTCAACTTAATAGGATCAGAATCGCTAAGCTTAGCATTAGTTGCAGCGAAATAAACCCTAGTATTACAAACTGACTGAATATGTCCAATCTAATCACATCTGAAGCATTTAGAATTACGAAATTAAATAAGTGAAACTTGCTATAGAGCGAGCATTTACTTAACTTGTGCTCATCTTCGTGACCTACTTCGCAACTTCTCAATGAATTTTCCGAATAACCTTGATTACGCATGGGACCGGGACGACGAAATGGAATTGCTGATGTTCCGACGAATCATTTTACGAAATTTGTATACTTTACACGGTGTAGTAGTAGTTCCTTGAGAGTTGCATAAGGAAGTGAAATAGGCTTTTCTGGAAATGCCCGTTTCCAATAAGTTGTATGCTTCTTTTCCAATGATTGTAAGGAAATGAGCCACAATATTAACATCCTCAATACCTTCCTTCGTCATAGTCCATATAATCCTCAAGAGCATCAAAATCTGAATGTCCAACTGTTCCATCACAAAATTCTGCTCGCGGCACCAATGTGGTGATTAGAAGTATTTGAATTATTATACAAACTAGTAATCCCAGGAATGACGCAATTTAGACCAAGAAAAACTAGATGAGCACTAATGAACGTATTATATTCGGGTACAAAGAAATAATCAGTCCATACAAACATCAAATATTTTAGACGAAGATACAGTGATTTGCATATAATCAACGCGCACTACTCACCAGCTGCAAATCAAAGCCCCTAAAATTGCACTCTATATTACATCTAGGTAAAATTTACTAACACTGCCGACCTGTGTTGTCTAACGGTTGAAGACCCTAAATCAATGCCCTACAAACGTAAATCAAAATAGGGTTTCGGACAGGTCTACGTTGGCCTATGTTCTTAGACTAGACAAACACGACGATATGAAAATAACGAAAGTTGACGTAACGTATTAAGAATGATAAATGCAGGTGCTTTAGATCTAAAACAAGGTTCGGGAAGGCGGAGTAAAAAGGTTTGTATGAAAAAATACAAGATCGAGAGGAAGATGAATGGAGAGATCCGTATCATCATGAATGGATCTGTGCTATATCGCCAGAAGTTTCCAACCATTGATTGCGGTGATCACTCAGACCCTTACCAGGTAGTCTACATCGACTAATCTGGCTCAGATTAACAGTCAGTGACTTTGTGGATTGATGTTGCGTCTCAATTTGACGCCCCTAGTCCTCAACTTCTGCACCAGCAAGCATCGCTTGTCGTGGTTAAGCATAAGCAGCTCACGTCGAACTTCGACACTGCTCACCCGGTTGGCCCATAAAAAACGAGCGATCCTTAGGAAACACCTATGAACAAAAGCCTTCAGTTTAACGGTCTTTCACTCCAATCAACCATGAGCATTACTAGGGTTTGTAATCCACTCGTCGTATTCAATAAACCGGGTTCCCTGTGGCTATTACAAGATTCTCCACTTGTTGAATATTTGAAAATCATCTGAGCTACCTGCCCTGCACATCCTGACTCCATTATATATAAGTGGATTGGTTGAACACTATGTAGCTGATATTTCCTTATCTCGCTTTCGCTGGCCACCATAGGCTTGGATCTGTTTTGCAACTCCAATATTTATTGATACATCAAAGGCTTAGTAAATTACAGTGCCTGTTGGCAGCCAACTTAGCATCACCTTGGGTAATTTTGAAGGAAACAGTAATAACTTAAGCCATATCACATTCGCATACAGATACATAAATAACGCTACGCGTTATGTCATACTAATAATAACTAAGGGACGAATTTTATCTTACGTTTAAGTGTCCAGAACACTACACAACCTGTCGTATTGCATGTTACAACAAATACGCGTATGGTACAAAAAAGAATGCTCGGTTTTCTACGTGAAATGAGACGTAACGAAAGTCATTTATCTATTTTATTGAAAAATCCACCATAAAAACAAAGTAATACGGAATAATACACGCACACAGGGAAACGAATTCATAAGAGCGAAGAAAATGCCCTGATAAATCTAGCGGATTAAAACAATTAAATGCTGTTCAGAATGAGGTGATACATTGAAGGCAAGGATTTTGAAATTAGATCTTTTAAGAGTTTTGATTACGATCCAATTCAAACCATCTTGGGCGACAAATCAGCGCATACGATAGTTAAACATTTTGTCGATCGACGAAAGTTCTCCTACGAATTCTACTTTGATGTTGATATCAAGATCACGCTACAATAAAGAATAAACAAGCAAAAACAATCCCCACTTGACGAATGGCATTTTTGAGCTTACCACAAACAAAAATATTAGACAGTATGACAAGTATAAAGTGAATAGAGAATCAACTGTAGCAGCGTGAATTGTTTATTTCATTTATCTGCTTATACATCTTACTTGTTAGATAAGCACTATTGTTCGGTTTTGAAGTGACTGTTGATACATGTAGTGAAATATTTCATTATACGTTGAAAAGTATCTTCAGTACATTATTATTTCAAACCCTTTCTAGTCCACAGTAAATCAGACTTCATAAGCACACTGAATCAGAACTTAAAACTTAGTAAAAAACTCCAGAAACTCACTGAATATGAAATCATCAGAAATTATATTATGATCGATAATGCTGAATAAATCTGTTCACTATTTCCTGATGGTGTTGAAAAATATACAAGTGTGACGCATTGTTTGATGTAGGTACAATACTACGGGACTCAGAAAAATAACATTAACAGTTAGAAGCTAAAATTAAATCAACTCACGTTATTTCGTTCATTCGGTTTAATAGACATCACACCGTTGATATGTTCTCCTTTCTTGACAGTTAGACAGTCATCATCGCCATTATCGAGATAAAAAACTGTTTGTTTCCAATGTGTGTAGCGGCGCTCATCAGGACCTTGTTATGACAAAAATATGTTATTAACGGCCTTAAATTAATTAAGAAATGAAGCATTGAAAAAGGAAAGTAATTTGGGGATAAAATAGAAAAACGTTGTTTAGACATACCTTTCTATTTTCACATCAAGGAATGCAAGACCGTTGTTTAACGGGTTAGGTATAAAACTAAAGTATTTGTGATCCAGAGATGTTTTACGCACTAATAGTCAACGGTGCCAAGCTAGTCGATATAGACTACCTGAGTGGTCACCGCGATCAACGGTTGGAAAATTCAGGTGTAGCACTGAGTCATTCACGATGGTGCAGATCCCTCCATTAATCTTCCTTTCGATCAAACTCTTTAACTCCGTCTTTCCGAAC